ATCATTGCCGGCGCCAAGGCTGGCGAGACGCGTTTCACCGATACGCGCAAGGATGAGCAGGAACGTTGCATTACCATCAAGTCAACGTAAGGCGTTTAATCACCAGCTAACCACGCCCTCAAAAGCTAATATTTCTCATTTTGTATTGCTTCAGTGCCATCTCCATGTACTTTGAGGTCGAGGACAAGGATCTGGTCTTCATCACGCAAGCCGATCAGCGTGAAAAGGAGTGCAAGGGTTTCTTGATCAATCTGATCGATTCACCCGGTCACGTTGATTTCTCCTCTGAGGTGACCGCCGCCCTCCGTGTCACCGACGGTGCCCTCGTTGTCGTGGATTGCGTTTCCGGTGTGTGCGTGCAAACGGAAACTGTGCTGCGTCAGGCTATTGCCGAGCGTATCAAGCCCATTCTGTTCATGAACAAGATGGATCGCGCTCTGCTGGAGCTGCAATTGGACGCTGAGGAGCTCTATCAGACTTTCCAGCGTATTGTGGAGAACGTGAACGTCATCATTGCCACCTACAACGACGATGGCGGTCCAATGGGTGAGGTGCGTGTGGATCCCAGCAAGGGTTCCGTCGGTTTCGGTTCCGGCCTGCACGGCTGGGCCTTCACCCTCAAGCAGTTCTCCGAGATGTACTCCGAGAAGTTCAAGATTGATGTTGTCAAGCTAATGAACCGGTAAGAATCCTCGCGTATAAACATATCTGCAACCCATTTGCTCGCTTTTAGCACAAAACGTGTGACGCTGAGCGTGCGACTTCTTTTGATCTCTGCCTCCCCTTCAAAGGGCGGCAGCTTCGATAGAACCGCGCGTGCTGACGGCGCCACAAGTGCAACAATAATAAAAGCAGATTAAAACTGAAGACGCGGCTGAAACGCTGCACCGGAACCGCTTTCCTAATGTTCCAACGGTGCATTTGCTAAGGCAGCGACTCGACAAATTTACCCAAAATAATTTTATAGATATATATTCTGATAACTGTTATCTATATGTTTACCATGTTTATATTTTGGATTAATTTACTTTTTCTCCAGCATTATTAGAAATAACTATTTAAAGAGTCGGAGAATATTACGGAGTATTTTTACCCTATCAATGTTTTTTTTTAATTGGAATTTGGAAAATGATCTATTTATATTACTCGCGCATGGCAACACATTGTTGTCTTGCATCATTTCTGTTAGGGCCTGTGTTGATCTTTACCCAAGAAATGGTATCGCATAACAATGAAAGTCTAAAGACTATTTGAAAACTGATATTTTGCTAAAGAACAAAGAAACTGAGACTTATGTAAACAAGCAACAATTTAAATCAATTTGCGGGCCAAATTTATATAGGAATATTGTCAATAAATAACCAAAATTTGAAATCTGAGAGATAAGTTATTTTAAAGGAGGGCCAAAAAACACATCAATACTAGAACAAATTGAAAATAAATATATGTATATGCTAAATTTAAATAGGAAATACATGCAAAGAACAATATTAACAATAGTTAAGAAAATATTAAAACTCTGAAGAAGAAAAAATTGTTATTAGTTGCACTTACCTAAAATACTCGGATATTTAGAGAAATGCCAAATGGTTATATCTGAAATAAAAAAAATAGAATATTATAGAGAGTATAGAGTAACTGTGAAGCAGGTCTAAAATTGTAAACGTTAAAAATATTTAAAAAAGAAACTTGCAAACTCAATTTCTATTCTATGTTCTTGCAGTCTGTGGGGTGAGAACTTCTTCAATGCCAAGACCAAGAAATGGCAGAAGCAAAAGGAGGTGGACAACAAGCGCTCCTTCTGCATGTACATTCTGGATCCCATCTACAAGGTGTTCGATGCCATCATGAACTACAAGAAGGAGGAGATCAACACGCTGCTGGAGAAGATCGGCGTGACCCTGAAGCACGAGGATAAGGACAAGGATGGTAAGGCTTTGCTGAAGACCGTGATGCGCACCTGGCTGCCAGCCGGTGAGGCCTTGCTTCAGATGATTGCCATCCATTTGCCCTCGCCCGTGGTTGCCCAGAAGTACCGTATGGAGATGCTGTACGAGGGTCCTCATGATGATGAGGCTGCCGTAGCTGTCAAGAACTGCGATCCCGATGGTCCATTGATGATGTACATCTCCAAGATGGTACCGACCTCCGATAAGGGACGTTTCTATGCCTTCGGCCGTGTGTTCTCCGGCAAGGTGGCCACCGGCCAGAAGTGCCGCATCATGGGCCCCAACTACACACCCGGCAAGAAGGAGGATCTGTATGAGAAGGCCATTCAGCGTACCATCCTGATGATGGGTCGCTATGTGGAGGCTATTGAGGATGTGCCCTCGGGTAACATTTGCGGTCTGGTCGGTGTCGATCAGTTCCTGGTCAAGACCGGTACCATCACTACTTTCAAGGATGCCCACAACATGAAGGTAAATGGAATAACAGCTCCATCTCTGAAGAGATAATCTGACTAAAATCTCTTTCAATTTCCCAATTGCCAGGTGATGAAGTTCTCCGTGTCGCCTGTGGTGCGTGTCGCTGTGGAGCCCAAGAACCCTGCCGATTTGCCCAAACTGGTGGAGGGTCTGAAGCGTCTGGCCAAGTCCGATCCTATGGTGCAATGTATCATTGAAGAGTCCGGTGAGCATATCATTGCCGGTGCCGGTGAATTGCATTTGGAAATTTGCCTTAAGGATCTGGAGGAGGATCACGCTTGCATCCCCCTGAAGAAGTCCGATCCTGTGGTCTCCTATCGTGAAACCGTCTGTGAGGAGTCCAACCAGATGTGCTTGTCCAAGTCTCCCAACAAGCACAATCGTCTGCTTATGAAGGCTCTGCCCATGCCTGACGGTCTGCCCGAAGATATTGATAACGGTGAGGTCAGCTCCAAGGATGATTTCAAGGTGCGCGCCCGTTATTTGGCCGAGAAATACGACTACGATGTGACTGAGGCCCGTAAGATCTGGTGCTTCGGCCCCGATGGTACCGGACCCAACTTCATCCTCGACTGCACCAAGTCCGTGCAGTACCTCAACGAAATCAAGGACTCTGTTGTCGCTGGCTTCCAGTGGGCCTCCAAGGAGGGTATCATGGCCGATGAGAATCTGCGTGGCGTTCGCTTCAACATCTATGACGTCACCCTGCACGCTGACGCCATCCATCGCGGCGGTGGCCAGATCATTCCCACCACCCGTCGTTGCCTGTACGCCGCTGCCATTACAGCCGGCCCTCGCCTGATGGAGCCCGTCTATCTGTGCGAGATTCAGTGCCCCGAGGTCGCCGTTGGCGGTATCTACGGTGTGCTGAACAGACGTCGTGGCCATGTCTTCGAGGAGAACCAGGTCGTGGGCACGCCCATGTTCGTTGTCAAGGCTTATCTGCCTGTCAACGAGTCGTTCGGCTTCACCGCCGATCTGCGCTCCAACACCGGCGGCCAGGCCTTCCCACAGTGCGTGTTCGACCATTGGCAGGTGCTGCCCGGTGACCCGTGCGAGCCATCCAGCAAGCCCTACCAGATTGTCCAGGACACCCGTAAGCGCAAGGGTCTCAAGGAGGGTCTGCCCGATCTGTCTCAGTATTTGGACAAGTTGTAAGCGACTCCAACTTGGGGCTCAACGGGCTGCAGCTGGCTAATAACAAGCATGTGGTGGAACGATCAAAAATGCAACAACAACAACAATAACATCGCAAAGGTCGCTGTGGCCGCTGGCAGCGTTTTAAAAACACACACAACATTAAAGAAATTTTGATGATTATTAATTGTATAACAGTAAACAACAAAAATAAATCAACTAAATGATTATACTTAAGTTTATATAAAAAAAAAAAACAAAAACAAATACATAGAGAGCACTTAGAATGTGCTCGAAACATAAACAAAAATAGAAACAAAAGCGAGGGGGCATCTATTGCAGATACAAAGAGGAGAGATACAATCTGTGAGCTGTTTCCAATCAGAAATATAGCTAAGAGCAATTAGCATGCTTGCTGTTAAGTGGACGCTGTTAGCGTTAAGCACGTTAAATTAACGGCGCTGTTAAACCAACAGAATTTTTAATGTTATGCCTTAACGTCACAATGTTAGCTACACCCCAGGTTTTTGTGCTGAATTGTCGACAAAAAAAAGCTACAATGTTAACATAATTCCACATCTGTTTAAAATGAAGGCTCAAACACATTTTAAGCATTTAATCACAACAGCTTTATTCTAAACAAAAAAACAAAAACAACTGTTTTGCCAGCTAACATGCCGAGCCTAGCTAAATTGAGCAACACTATTCTGTTAAGTCCGTAACAGCTGTAGTTGCCGCATTGACAACTGCAACCGGGGGTTGCGTTTTGTCGTTTGTTGTTTTTGTTGCAGCGTTCTTGTGCGTAAACGTGCCGCGTGGCCATGTGCAAAATCACAAAGCAAAGCACACAATGCCAATCAATGTTAATGATTACAACAAATGAGCGACATGCGGCGTTTGGCAAACAAAAACAACAACAGCAGCAGCTCGCTGTGGGGTGGCAGCGAGCGAGTGAGAGAGATAGAGGGAGAGAGCATAAATGCAGCTCAACCTCCCACATCAATGCGCGCGTTCTCTTTTATATTGCACTCTCTCTGCTTTTGTATGGCTGCCCGAGTCTAGCAAGTAAATCTAGTTCTAACCCTCTATTAATTAGTTATTAGAAAATGAAAAGTTATAAAGTATGCACATATTAAATTTCATTTACAGCTAAAATGTAATAGCAGCAGGACTATCATAGCAGAGAGAGCAAACGCATGGGCATGTGAAGAGAGTGATTTATGGCAGATCATTGGATCGTGCACCCACACCAGGCAATGCCAGCCTATTAAAGTCTGCTCTTTACCTGCTCTCTTTGCGTGGAGCTGTAGAGGGATAAACAACAGCAACAACTACAAGCACAAGCGAATAACATCCACCAGATACAGTAACAGTATAGTGTCCAATTGGCTTCTCTCTGCGGCTCAGTCGTGTTTCGGTGTACGAAGCGAACGGACGTGTATGTGCTGTTGGTTACGCGTCGTTTGCGTTGCAATATTTTTGTAAATTTCAATAGGTATGTGTGAGTGCGGTCTGCGGTCTGTGCTGTGTTTGAAATTCAAATTCGAAATTGATCGAATTAAATATTGCAAAAATAGTCAACAATTTACTGAATTCGTTTGCCAAACGAGCGGAACAAACAACAAAAGCCCACGTCTGCACATGTATAGGTGTTTGTGTCTGTGTCCACATGTGTGTGTGTGTGTGTGTGTGTGTGTGTCAGTATGTAATAAGCAAATTGCAAAATGCGAATAGAATTCTCTTGTTCTCGGAAGTTGCCGTCTGTTTTTGTCATCGTCTCAAAAGCCGCTGCCGTCGCCGACGTCGCTGCCGCCGCCGCCGCTAGGTCTGTCATTACAAACAGCAGCATTAGGCTTGTAGTCTATCTCGCTCTGGCGCACACGGGCTCATCATATTTGCTATATTTAGCAACATTTCCAATTGGAAGATTTTTGATTTGACCTTTTGGCAGTAAAAGCTTTTAACTGTAATTATTATGCGATGCCAGCGAAAAATAAAAAAAAACAAACCAAATGCTAAAGCCAACTGTGTGAGTGTGTGTGTGTGTGGGCTGGAGTGTGTGTGCGTCTGCATATGAAAAAATCGATGCCAGACTCCCTGCGACGACGTCGACGCCAGGCAACTTCATTCAGTAAAGCAAAAGGCAAGAGGCAAAGGCAGCGACGCCAACGTCGCCGCAGTATATTTTACAGTTAGACAAAGTTGGAGCTTTGGGCTGTCTGTGGGTGTGTGTGTGTGTGGGTGGCTGCAGCTGAAGTTTGAAATTCGAATTGAAACTGGCTTAATGGACAGTTACCGATAAGAGCGGAAATGAAATTTTGCCGTATTAGAAACTTAAAAATGGCAAACTTTTCGGTTTTTTTTTATTTAACTTTGTTGCTGCATCCGTTGAAATGCGTTTTTGGGGCAGCCAACGCAAAAGTTTTTATTTTTGCACAAAGACAAAAGCAGCGTGATTGCGTGTGCGTGTGCGTGTAGATGTGTGTGTGTGTGTGTGCATGAGTTGTTTATGTATAGCGGAATATAAAATATATTTTATATGTATGTATGTATTGCTGTGGGCGGAAGGCGGCCAGGCTAATCTGTCGCTGCGTGTGCGTGTGCTTGTGTGTGTGTTAGTGTGTGTGTGAGTGTGAGTGTGAGTGCGCCTGAGCCCCACACATACAAAACTCCTCTCAACAAAGTGTATAGAAAATATGAATGAAGATAGGAAACGCAAGCGAAGGAGTTAAGAGTAAATTGTACCAGTAGGGTAAGGGATGGGGGTGCGGGGTGGGGGGAGGTGAAAAAGAGGTTCGTCGGAGCAAGCTGCGAAAATAGTTTTCCCTCACTAGCGCCGAACAGTTTCCCATTTTCACACCTCCGACTCCAATGGGGCAAAGACTCTACGTGAAAAATCAATGCACAAATTTGTTTGGACGAACCAACAAATTTTAATTGGCTTTTCAGAGATGGTTTCCCAGGTTTTCGCATGTGAAAAATGTATGAAGAGAATTTTAAGAAAGTTGTGAAAAACAAAAAAAAAAAACATTTTGCAAAAATTCGTTGGGTTTTTCAATGAAACAAAAACTTCGTTTTCTATTGTTTCTATTGGGAAAATTCTTAAGGGCGAGCATCTGCGCTTGCAGGCGCTTTGTTCCCATTACTTAAACCTGCTTGAATTGATAAACATTTCAAAAAACTAAAAAAAACATCGCAAACATTCCTTATTTTTCAACTTAGTTCTACGTATGTTGATGGTAAATCAAAATTTAATCTCAAAATATCTTGTGCTAAGCCAAATTTAGAAACTTAATCTTGTTTAGAGAACAATAAAAAAAAGTTGTTTTTGAAATTCTAAACTTTGAAAAACTACCAATTTCAAGATTTTCTTTTAATATTCTTTAATGAAATAGGTTGTTTTTCGACTTTGAATGCAGTCGAAATGCATTTAACGAGAAATTCAAGTTATATAAAGTTATATTATCTTTCATTCAAGTATATATTTTATATTTTGAAACCCTTGCCGCAAAAACAATTAATATAAAGAAATACTCTAAAAGGGATGTATATACAGTGGAAATCGCTTATAATCGACACCTCTATTAGGCGGACACCCCTCTATAATGAATCAAACGAAACTCTTTCCACCTCTATTTGGCGGACAAATATTACCCGTCGCTCTCCGTTCGCTCAAGCGAGTTTTCACTGTATTTGGTTCTATTAACCCGACTGGAAATACTAATATTGCATTTGGCTAAAATGGGGTCTTGATAAATGTGCTAATCATCCATTCCGCTAGCTTTTGGTAATTGCAGAGCTTATCTTTGGGAGAAAACTGTCGTGTCAGTTCCCAAAACCCCAATTGTTTCTATACAAATTTGCCAGTTAAGTTTTTGAAAATTGACATATTTCGTTTTTGGTAAAAGTGATTTCATTTTCTGTGAATTGGCAGACATTAAACTTGGCACAAAGCAACTATAAGCTGAGCTGTTCGCTTCACCGAGCTTTCACTGTACTTGCAAGTCTCTCATATGTATATACGTACATTAATTGGAATAACTTTTTTATGACTGTCGAGCCTTGTAAGCACATTTAATTATCCTAAACAATCGCCCATTTAATCGAGCGTAAAAACTAATATCCGTTCGTTCTCAACCCGAATCGTTAATGCTAAGCACGTCTGATTGGAATGTTACGCAAATCGAATCAATGTTAAATATTTATTGAATAGCAAAACGCACACACACACACACACACACACGCACAGACTTAAGCGGCTTACAACTGGAGCCAGAGAAATTACAAGTTTGATTATTTAAGCGAAAATCTCATGTTTCCCACCCGTTTTTTCCACCTCCCGCCCCCCTACCGCCTACCGCCCACCGCCCACTCGCAGCAGCATTTGGATGACGAATTTAATGACCTGAAAAAAACGCCAATCACTTTCACACATTGCATAGATGAAAATTGAAACTGCCGACAACAAAGGCGAGCAGCAGCAGCGACGTCGACAGCGACAGCGACTGCGACTGAGGCAGCAACAGCAGCAGCAGCAGCAGCAACTGTGGGCGCATTGATTACATTTTCATAATCAACAAAACAGAAGAAAAGCAACAAAAAAAAAAAAATAACATACGTTCAAAATAAAGTTGCAGTTGGTTTCAATGAAAATCGCATAATGGAGACAACACCTGAATCGTGTGGCGCACGCGATTCTGTGGAGGCGCTCGAACTGGAGGCGGATACAGAGACAGAGGCGGAGGCAGAGGCGGCGACTTCGGCAGAGGCAGCGGCAGCGGCAGCTGCAGCGACTGCAGCTAACAACATGTCGGCCAATGATGTTCGGTCCGAGTTAGGGCCCGCAGCTCTGGATGCGCTGGATGCGGACAACGACCAACAAAAGCAAAAGTATGTCGCAAGCTCTAAATGAAATTAAATTCAAATTGTGGCCAAGAGAGAGAGAGAGAGAGAGAGAGATAGCGAGCAAGGGGCTAGGGGGGAGATTGTGCCAGCAGGCAATGTTACAGTTAACCCCTCAACGTAGCCTAATTAGATTTTCATTTCGATTCTCGCAGCGAGCCACTGCAGCCGCAGTCACTGGAGCCCATCTCCCTGGATGACATACCCGAGCCCATCAAAGTGCTCGACGATATCATATCGGAGTTCGAGGAGGCGGCCACCAAGCCGGCGGCCCTGCACTGCAACAGCGGCGAGAACCAATCCGAGGACGATGGCTACATGAGTCTCAGTCGCAAGAAGTGAGTTCTATTTCCATTTCAACTTTAGATACCAAATCTTTTACGGTTAAGAGTCGACTCCACGCAATACCCTTTATCCTTCCACGAAATACCCTTTACCCTTTTTTTATTTCCTTATAAAAAAAAGGGAAATTAAAATACCAAAGACTGCATGAAGTATATACGATATCATAATATATACGATATCATAATTTCCCTGAGTACTTTTTAGCAAAGGGAAATTTAAAAATATGTTGGGTAAACCTGTCTGAAATAAACAATAGATATCATATTATGCTTATGATATGATCTCCTCATGTAAAATATATATTGTCTAATTACCAAGGCTGAAAACCCATCAAATGTTGTTTAAAATATGAAGAACCAAGGCTTTTAACACAATTTGGGTTCAATGAATGTGAAAAATGAATGGAACGAATCTAAAGAAAAGTCGTTGGTTCGAACCGTGAAGCAAAAAAATAGAAATTGTCGTGGCTTTTAAGCCATATCCATATCAAATATTACCCAAATTGAAGACAAGATTATTATCTAAGCTTACAAGGAACTAAAAAATGTTATATGTATATTTGAAATATGATCCAAGCCAAGCTTTAATTTTAATTGAGAGATCCCATTAAAAAGTAAATAGCCTCCGCTACTTTCAAGCACCTGTTAATAAACTCGGCAGATTGCAAAATAAATGTGAATGGTATTTTCATGTATTTTGATGCAGCATGTCCAAAAAGGACTCGGAGGATGTGCCCCAAACGCCGAGCACGGATACCGTGCCCGAAGGCAGTTTCAATGAGGTTGACGGCACGGCTGAGAATCTAACCAAATTATCGGAGGCGGAGCACAGTCAGGAAGCGACGACGCCACTCATACAGACGACGCTGGTGAGTCGAGACACACACACACACACACACACACACACACACACACAACTGAACACCTGAATAACTCAATATTGATATGGAGAGTATGTAGCCTGTGATAAATCAATTAATGCACCTTTACCTCAGCCCAAGGCACGCAGCGCCAACTCAACGCCAGCCACCAACTCGAACTACTCGAGTCTGCCCTGCTGCGGTGCACGTGCCTCCAATTTGGGCGCCACCTCCACGTGCAACTCCTCCAGCGGCCTGGCCGCCGCCGCCGCTCGCACCGGCAGCTGCAATGGGGAGCGCAATGCTCTGGGCATTGACATAAGCGCCGTGCACAATGCCGTGCTACGTGGCAATCTGGCCAAGCTGCCGGAGCCCATGCTGAACGAACATCCGGTGACCATCTATCCGGGTCCATCGGCCAAGGCAAGCGGCGAGGGTGCGCGCGGCAAGCGTCTGCTTAACTCGGTGGAGAAGCACAAGGCCGTGTGCCACATGCTGAATCCACATTCCATTAGCTCGAGCAGCTCGTCGGGCTCCCAGCACACGTCCAGCGGCGAGGCCTCGCCGGCGGCATCCAACATGAATGTGGCCACGTCCAAGCAGCAGCAGCAACTGGATGAGGACTACTCCGAGGACTCGCTGGAGGAGTCAACCATCTCCACGGATCTGACGCCGGTCAAGCAGAACGGCGTCGCCTGGGAGATACACTTCAAGAGCAATAAAAAGAAGCCAAGTGCAAGCGCTAAGAAGACAGCCTCCGGAGCGGCCAAAAAGGTGGGTGCACTGCCTCCACAAATCAAGGCAAACAGTCGCTCAGTGTCTGCTTATCTCTCCATCTCTCCAGCAGCAGCAACGGGACAACAATCTGGCGGATTTCAACAACAGCTTCGTCTACAACGAGCAGAGCATGCTGGGCAAGGGCACCTTTGTCATACGCCGTTCCACGGCCAAGAAGCCGCCGCGTGCCATCGACATATTCAGCATACCAAAGCCGCCGCGCACCTCCCTGGGCGCTGGCGCCATTAGCAACGAGTTCTACACGAGCGACAGCGAGCCCAGCGAATCGGCGTCCTTGCCGCCGCCACCGGCGCCCGCCGAGATGAACTTCATCTACAAGGACTGCGAGGCGGCAGCGGCACAGAACCGACGTGCCCTGGAATTGGCTGCAGCCCAACGGGCAGCCCTCTCCCTGGACATAGCCGAGGCCACGGAGCACCTCGCAATAGGTAACAAGCCACTCAAAAGCAAGACAGCCATGCTCACCGAGAAGCGCCTCAGCGCCGAGTCCATGCCGGACAACACCTCCAGCAGCGAGGAGTTCGACGAGGCACGCCTCAACGGCAATGGCTACGATCTGTTTAGCTACAACGGCAATGGTGAGTGCACCCAGAAAACAAGAAGAACAAGTACGCCGAAAATCAAATACCCTAGGTTAATATTATTGTGGATATGTTGGGAGAATTGTAAAGCTCGTAATTGGAGAGTTACGTAAAATTATTCTAAAAATCAAGCAAGGTTTGCTTTTCGATCGATTCTATGGGAAGATCTATAAAAATTTGGTCACATCCAAGGAGCAAAGTGCAAATAATAAATGCTGAGTCAGATCAAGATATCCTGATGAACGATAAAGTTTGTAATAGAAGAACTTAATTTCCGATAAAATATTCGAAAATATCCGATATAAGTTGGCTCACATACAAAGTTAAAAGGAGCTCGTATTATAAATATCCTCCCCCAGTTGCTTAAAATAATGAAAAGTGTTTAAGGAATCGACTTCTGGTTTTTGAATATGCACGCATTTTGATGTCATATTCAAGCTAGGACAATTTTATATATATCGGACTATAAAGAAGGAATATCTGGTTCGATTATCTTCGAAGCATAGAGCTTTGTTCTTTAATCGATAAAACCATAGAGATTTCTTGCAAGCGAGGCTAATTTATTTGCTTTATCTGCAGAACAACGTGTCTCGACAGCCACGACGCCCCACACGGATCTGGCGCCCACCCTGGAGGAAGACGAGGAGTCGGACTTTAGCTATGGCTGCGCTCCGCTCAAGCAGATCGAGCACAACATAAGCGCGCTGCTGCGCGGAGACTTGCCGCTGCCGGTCCAGCTGGCAGCAATGAATGGCTGCAGTCCGGCTGCATCGGGCGCTGCCGCCGCAGCCGCTGCTGCTGCTGCGGCTGCCGCTGCAGAGCTGCATGCGAAGCGCGTGCTCGAGTTCCGTCCGGGCGTGCACAAGTCGGAGAGCGCCAAGGAGATGCTGCTGTCGCAGAATATTGGCTTTGGTCCGTTGCCGCCGTCGCCGCCCAGCTCCAATCCGGACATGTTTGACTATGATGCGCCGCTGCCGCCTTCGCCCGTGGAGCCGCGCAAGCCGCTGGAGCTGCCGGCAGCCGCAGCGGCTGCTGCTGTTGGGAATGCCAATCGTGGCACCACGATCGTCGAGGTGCATGCCACCGCCTCGGGCGCCGCGGTGCATAGCAATAGCCACACGCGACGCAGTCGTGACAATGTGGCTGCAGTGCGTCATTTCAACGATGAGCTGCCAGCACCGCCGGCTCCCGCTCATCAGTCGAGCAGCTATGCGGATGGCCTGCCCGGTCTGTCGGGTCCGCCGCTGGCGCCTTCGGTGCCACCACATCGTGCTGGTCACTCGCTGAACACCATGAAATCCTGGAGCATCGATTCGCAGTACCGCAAGAGATCGCCCAAACTGTTTGGCTACAGCAGCGGCAGCGGCATCACGACGCCCACTGGCCTAGGTGCCATGCCGCCACTGCCACAGCCGCCCATGGGCACGATGGGATCCTCCTGCGATGGCGGCTCCGTTGCCGGCACGGGCTCCTATCAGCGCCGATATATCAACTATGGCACCAAGCGCAGCCTGAAGCAATCGCCGCGCGAGGAGCATCGCCTGCAAACCTCATGTAGTCTTCCCGAAACTCCCATATTCGCCAGAGGGTGAGCTCCTGTCCCTATTCAATCTTTTGCTGCATCCATAACTTAGTCTATCTATTTCCCCAGCTGTGACATACCACGTACGCCATATCGACGCCAAAATGATCCCATACCCGTCAGCGGATCCCGCACAGCGCCACGTTCCAGCACTTCGAACAGCATCAACATGGGCAACTCCATCTTGGGCATAGGCGGTAAGTGCTGCTGAGGATGCGTTTAAGTGAGACTCTAATCGATTAACGAACCGACTCCCTTTCCAGCTGGCAGCTATGGCACCGCCCAAATCTGTCGCCAGCGTTCCATCAATCACGCCTTAGCCTCCAATGAAATGCTGCGCATGACTGGCGCTCCCGCCCGCGGCTGGTATCCCAAGCAGCGCAGCATGCGGCCCGCCTCCACGGAGAACATTGATCGTTTGGCCTCGGTGCGCGTGTGGGACAATCCGGCGGGCATGTCCGGCACGGGTCAATCCCGCAAGCCGCTCACCCTGCCGCCCAATCTGACGCCCTCCTTTTTGAATAAGTCGCCGCGCGAGGCGCTGCGTCGTGTCACCAGCTTGCTTATCACCAAGAAGAGTAAGTGAGAACCTGAGTCGAATAACTTCCATACTCATTTGGTTTCCCCGGTGATTTTCCAGAGCACAACAAGGAGCGCAAGCACAAGGCCTACAGCGATCAGCCCATGGATGATAGCAATAGCAAGCATGCATATGAATTTGAAACAGGTAATTAAGCTAATTTAATTTTCAGCTATTTTTTACACGTTTAAAACCATCCGAATCAAATGCAAGCACTTAATTTTCGCCTTATAGAAGGGAATTTTCCTGAATATCTTCTTAGGTCACAAAAGAAAATTTATGTGAAAAGATAGTGGGGTTTAAATACTATTCCTTTTTAAATTGAGTTGAACAATAATCGGAAAAAATACAACAGTATTTCACTTATTTTTCATACAGGAGAATGGATTTTAGAAAATTATGATATAGATATTTTTAATGATAAAAATTAAATACAACAATAAGAGCGGAGCTGTCTTGAAATCTATATCAGACTCAATAACAAGTAAGAGGTTCTAGTCGGAGCTCCCGACTAGGGGATACCCTGAACCCTCTTCTTCCAACATCAGATGCATATATATATTCTATTTTAGAAGCTATATGTCAAGTTTGGTGACTCTAGCTCTTATTATATACCAAAATTGCCCAAAAAACAGGATATCGATATCGATTTTTATCGATTGCTTGGAAACGGAGTAAGTTATCGATTATCGGAAACAAACTCGATCTGCGCGGGAGGAGCATCTACATCTAAAATTTCAAGTCTCTAGCTCTTATAGGTTCTGAGATCCTTGCGTTCATACATACGGACGGACGGACGGACAGACAGACGGACATGGCTAGATCGACTCTGCTATTGATGCTGATCAAGAATATATATACTTTATGGGGTCGGAGTTGCTTCCTTCTGCCTGTTACATACATTTGGCTTTCGCACAAATACAATATACCCTTATACCCATTTTAAATGGGTTCAGGGTATAAAAATGGTTAAAAATTACCCAACTTTGCCCGTTCAAATCTACTTATTTCTATAAATCCAATCCCAGTTTTCACTCTTTTATTCCCTTCATTGATATTAGGTTTCGGATGATTACGGACTATATTATCTAGCATTTCTATTTTACATATGTAAATATTGCAGCCTGCAATAGGACAGCACACTGAATAAATTGAATATTGAGTATAATATTAAACAACATCTGCCTCTCTCTTCCTCTCTGAAGTAGGTTCCGCGAAGCGCAAGGAGACGAGCTGTCGCAGCAAGGACACTGCCGCCGCTGTCGTTGGTGCCACGCCCAAGGCCAAGAAGAAAGGTCTCTTCAAGACGCTGTGGAAACGCACGAAAACCACCTCGCTGGATCAATAGAGCAGCCAAGAAAAAAAAAGGAACAGAAATAACCAAAAATCAACTTGTTTCAGACGAAGCCAAAACACTGCCCCCCGTTTCCCCTCACTCCAACAAATACTATGGATATATATATATATATATGTTTTTAAAGAACGTTGATAATAATCGCACCTACGTATACACTATGTAAAATGTAACACTTGGGTATATGAAGAGGGCGTTGTTAAGCGCTGGGTATACACTATTCCCTGCCCACGACCCCAGAGTCACCTGCTCATCACCACACACACACACACACAGCCATTCACGCAGACACACAAGTACGTTTGACTTACTCTCACGCTCGTTCGCTCACCTTGAAAATGTCACTCAATATGCAAGCAATTTATACACACACCTACATATATATGAAACTATCGTACATATATGTACAACTATATCGGTCATATAAAAATGCGAAAAACTGAATAATTCAAATATGCACAAAGCCGTGAATCGTAAAGACTGAAAAAAAAAAAACAAGAAAAATTTAAATGAAATGATAAACAAATAAGGAAACCAATTCAAATTAAAAACAATTTTTGAACTTCAAAATGCCACAAAGCACAAACCAGACCAGCAGATGAACCAGTATTATCTATAAACATTTAAATGGGATCATGAGTAGCCCGATCTTTGAACTTGCAACAATTCCATGGCCGTAAGACACACAATAAAAAGCACGCAACGATGAGCAACAAATAAAAAACAAAAAGATTTCAGAAAAAATGAAAAATAAAAAAAAAATTATTATACAAGCACTGAATTTATATATATAGTATATAAACTCTATATACATAGTTTGGAGTATAGCTGAACCGTTTAGGGTTCCAGGCAGCATTACTTACTTTATATTATGATGTTTGATATACATGAAGCGACTTTTTTAGTAGCCTTCAAGTGGATTTTGGCGACGATTGCAAAATATTTGCCTAGGAACTTTCAAAAGATCTAAACAAATTTTTGGCTCTCTTGGCCGGCGAGGCTTGAGGTAGATTTTCTGGCAAAAGCTTGAGAGAAATATCTAACAATAAATTTGAATTCGAAATTTTGAGAGACTAGTATAGCCGAAAAGCCCTCCAAATTCCAAAGAATGTTTAATAATACCATTTCCAGCGTTTTGCATAGAATTCCAAAAAAAAAAAAAGAAACGAAAACCGCATAAAAAAGAAAAGAAAAACAAATCTTAGAAATAAAAAAAAATGAAAACCCTACAAATACGCTCAATAGAATTTTACCAGGCAGCATTTTGCTTTTTGTAATTCGAAAAATATAAATCTGAGAAAACGGAAGATACGATTAACTGCAATAAGTAAAGAAACAAAACTGTAAACGTTTACTAGTCATTAAATATATAAACAATAAAGAAAAGGGGAAAAATGATATATATGAAAGATTATGTATTTTTTATTAACACACTGATAAGCCAAGTGGCCAAAAATAAAAATAAAACTAACAACGTTAAGTGTAATTGGCTGCTTTTTATGAAACAGGCGCCGCCCCCTCCCGCTCGCAGAGACAGAGCCAGTTGAAAAGTATTATTAACGAATTATTATATTATGCTATAGCAAGTTGGTATTTATTTATAATTAATTATATTGTATGTACAATTATTTGTATTAATATTATTGAATATATTTTTTAGAAAAGTAGTGTGAAACTGGAAAAAGAAACTAACAGAAAACAGAATAATAAAAGTACTTAAAAACAATTAAGTGAAACTGGCAAATGATGCACTTGGGTACTTTTTACGAAGAAAAAAAAATATCGAATGAAATCTTATTAAAACGAAATTTAATATCAGACCCCAAGTTTCTAAATAATAAACAAAAACAAAAAACGAGCTGAAGTACTACAAAATCGTTTTTAGAGTGGTTTTCCCCTATAGACTTTTACACACATCCTATATATGAGCAAACTTTCTAAAGCACCAACTAAACCAAGCCCCAAAAAAACAATATGTACAATCTACATTCGCGAACACACAGATTAACTGCTTGAACAAACCACATACGAAAATACAGAGAAAAAAAACCAATAATAATGACAAATTACAATAACAATCGACTTACACTCAACCCCATATACACACACAAAACACACACATATGTATGAAAGAGCTATGGAAAAAGTTTAGCACAGACAGAACAAAGCAAATAATATAATTTTTTAGCAAGAACAAATGAATTTTTAATATATATATATATATCTATATATAAATATATATATATGGATATAATTGAAATTTAACTTCTAATGAAATGAAATAAAACTAGCATTGCAAATTTTGAGAAATATGAAATAACAACGTGTTTTCATTGAGAGCGTGAAAATGATATGACAAGTCTCAGCTACATTATTTAAATAAAACAATTAAGCAAATGTTGAAGAATGAATGAATTAAATATTTAAATAATAACAGACCGCAAAGAGTGGATACTATTTGAAATAGTTTATGTTCTTAGTTTCTAATGTAACGCATCAATTTAAAATCGTGAAGACAATTTTATTTAATTTTTTTTTTGTTGTTTTTGTTTTTTTTTTTTTATTACACATTCGCTTGCAATTTGGTTTTTGTGCGTGTGTTTTGTGTGTGTGTGTGTGTGTGGGTGTGTATGTGTGAACCAGATAAATATACAATTCATAAAGAAAATGTTACTATTGCCGCATTAAAAAATAAAACACACGCGCCAAAAGAAACTCGTTACAAAACTAAATAAACTAACTAAAAGTATCAGTAATGCGCACATCTTATATACGCCTTTTGTTTTAGGATTAGTTAGGATCAAAAAAGAAAAAACACACAAAAACAAACAAATATTGATTGCATTACCTCAAGGACTTCAATTCAGAATTGCTTTTGACAAACTATCAAGTAAGGTTTCAGTTATTGTTTATCAGAAGAAATATCATAGTTTTGGTTGTTGTAATGCGTGTCATGAATTTTTAAAATATTTAACAAAATATGCCTTGGTACAATGTATTACAAGGTATTACAATTATTACTGTGTGTGTGGGTTTTTGCATTGTGAATTCAATTAGTGAAGGTTCTTTTGTTTATGCTTTGCTTTTTTCTTTTTGTAATAATCTCTAGTAGCTGTCCGAGCCGAGTTCGCAGTCTAAGCCATATAGCTATACTCGTCACCAGAGTTAGCCGTACGCTCAATATATTGTTTGTCAATTAACGATTCTACGCACTTTTTGATCATTGCGATATTGGGCGTAAAGCTAACTTTCGATAAGGATAGTACCTGTTGATGTGAGGTATACAGTATGTAAGTTTGTATATAGCTGATAATAATTTTTTGACCTACCTCTTGTATCAGCGCATTGTGCTTTAACACCTTGCGCGCCTTCATAATTCGCACAATAGCAGCCTGCAGAAACAGTTTTCGATCCTCATCCACCGAGTTGATCGTGTGCTCCACCTGAAAACCATATACATTAATTCATTATTTATAAGAAATATATTCTATATATTTTGTTTTTTGTTTTTGTACTCACCTCTTGTGGCGTTTCTTTTTGTAACGCCGAGCTTATCTTAAATTTCGTACGCTTATTTGTATAATCGAAATTCAATTCGATGCGCGTATCACCCGAGAGATTCTCTGAGCTGGCATTCAGCAATTTGGACTCAATCATCGGCTGCATATGCTTCTGATACGTTTCATCATTTAATTGCAGCGTGTTCTGTATCTCACGACAGCTGAGAGTGTCGCAGGTCTCGAAGAGCAAGATTATCGCCATTTGGTATGTCTGCATGGTCACGATGTAGGATTTCTTTAGGTGACTCAGCTTCAATTCGCCATGGCACATGTGATGCAGCCAAGTAAGTTTACGGCCGCTAAATAAATTGTGATAATAGTCCTCAAACTGTTATACGAAAATATAGGATAATTTAACTATAATTCTTGCAAATCGATTAGATTAGATTGAGAAACGCACCATTTTGATGGACTTTTCGAATTCCTGGGGCACTGCAAATGGAATAACCTGTGTGGAGCCCAAGGGCCAAGCGCCCGCCTGCAGCACTTTAATCGACAGGTTAATGCCTGTAAAATAATATACAAAGATTATTAATATACGTAAACCACAACTGTTTATACTCTCAGAAAATAAATATACAGTTAAGTATTTGTTTTTAGCAGATAAGCCAAAATCTGTTTAAAACTATTTTTTTATTTACTGGATACTTAATATATTCACCCCTTGGGCTTAAAGGTTTTATACTTGAAGTTTAAAGAATTTTGCTAAATTTAATACTATAGAAGACAGAATAGGATGAAAGGAAAGTTGTTGAAGGAAAGAATATTTCAGTATACAATATTGCGATATAAAAGAAAGTAAAACCCTTTTTCACGCAAGCTGTGCAATACGAGCTTATTTTGTCTTCAAGTAATGGCTAACAGTACATACCCAGATCAATGTCGTTGTCCTTTAAATGATTATTGAACTTATTGTTCAAATCTGTGGAGACGGAAATATCTGTGAACATGCGGTGCAATTTGTTGGTGAACTCATAGCCACAGGCTTGCTGTAATATATAAATATATACATTTAATATCATTGTATATAATCGAAGCTATTTTAGTGCACACCTTTAGACGATTGATCATACCCTCCTCGGCATCCATGCTCTGGCTTTGTTCGTGTATAAGACGCTTAGCTAACAATCTACTGTAGAACTTTTGATACACATCCTTGTCCTCAATGTATTTGAATATGGTTATGTTATTCGTGAGCTTCTGATCGATTTCCGCTTCGCAGGTTTTCGATTTTTTTAACAGAGTATCACAGTATTTGGCCACGTATTCAGCGCTGCGACACGGCTGTCGTTCGCTGGGACGTCGATTGATGACGCTGGCGCAGGCCTTGTCCAGCGCGCTGAGGAAGAGCGAATCGTTTTCGAAGACATCGGCAATTAGCTCTTGATACTTGTGATGCACCTTCAGCATATTCTCGACAAAAGCAATGTGTATATTCTCGCCCTTAAGCGCATAGACTGTTTCGAGGCCCTCGTTTTTAATGTGCTCGAGAAAGGTTTGTATCAGTTCAGCCTTTAGATTATCGGGTATAGGCTTTAGCACGATGTACATGTTGCGCAAATCCTGCCGCCGCTCATCCGATACCATATCGCGGCACTCTGAATATATAAAGCCCAAACGATCGTTGATAAACTTCTCCTCGCATTGCTTGCGCAGCTTTGGCAATGAGCTAACATGGAGAAACTTTTGCGCTCGCTTGCTCTCATACTCCAGAATCTTTATAACCTCCTGCATGTACTGGGACACGCTGCAGCGTTGCAGCAGCTTGTTGGCCTCGTTTGTATAGTATGTACCGCTTGCCTCTAGCATTGGCCCCTCAAAGAGCTCCTGATATAACTTTAATGAGCCGGTCTTCTTATAATCCTGCACCTCCACAAAGCTGTGTATAACGCCATTGATAACCTGGACGCGATGCGAATCTAGGGTGCCATTGCTCGCCCGATCAGCGGCTATGCCTTCCAATATATGACGCACCAGGTCCTGGGCCAAATACTCCACCATGTACAAACGCCAAATGTCCAAGCCCAGCTCTCCGATTTCCATTTGTTCGGCGGCATCGCTAGACAGATTGCCATAAAATGATTCCGTATCGGTGATTTTTTGTTTCTTGATGTGCTGCTGGTTTAGGTAGCTGCAATGGCAAAGCGATTCGTATATTTCAGAGAGAGGTTTTTAAGCGGTGCAATCAGCCACTTACATGTATAGTTGGTGAAGATACTTTATGCCCTGGCTATACTCCATCCAGGTGGTATAATATCGTTGCAACAAATCTGGCCTGCTGTTCGTGTTATTGGCATTGGCTGTATCATGATTGGCCAGAACTTTATTGGCCAGCATCTCCTTGACGTGAGATTCAAGGAATTGCTTTGTCTCGCTATATAGCCGATCGGCCATTGGTTCCGGCTGCGCCACGCACAGCGTATAAACATCGCTGTGTGCAAGTATAGAAGTGTGTGTGTGTGTGTGTGTTAGATGAGTTTTAATATTGAAAACATGTGAATATATGTAAAGGAAAATTTTGGTTTTTGGCAAATCATGCTGCGAGCACAGTGGAACACAATCAATTTGTACATTGAAATAATTGCAATTTCGGAACAATAAAGATTAAATATAATTGAATTATCAGGATAGGTTATTTTTAGATTTTATCGTTTTTGAATACGACATCAATATAATAATTGATATTTTGTGTTGTTTTTTTTTCGATAATATTTTTGCTCCACTTTTAACGATTTTAGATTTGTAGACGTTTTAGCCAGACGGTCCCACTGTGCAATGTCCCACACGAATGACACTTTGTTTTTCTTATTTTTTTAAGGTCAATTTTACCGTTTTTAAGGGCTCCCTCTGCCAAATATCATTAGCTTTGCGTTCTACAAGTTTGTCAAGGCTGTTCCACTGTACAATATAAATATGAACATGAAGAGCACTCACCTAAAGCTCGTGTTCCAGACGGCGCGTTCAACTTTGCTCAATGTTATCACCGATTCGGCAATGCAACGCAAGCGCGGCCAGACATCAACAAATTCCACTATTTTTGGCTTGAGCGACATCTCTGCTGGTGTGTGGGTGTGGGAGGATGTGGATTGTTTGCTTAACTGGGGAAGTTTGGACAGCGATTAGAAAATGGCATTAAAAAAGACGTCGCAACGAATCGCAAACAAAAACAGCAACGATCAAGTGTTGGGTGACAGCTTGCATTTGTTTTAAACGCGCATTTTCTTATATATAAATAAAGTAAAAATTGCGTCGCCCCTCGTACGTTGCTGCCAGGCATAATCAGCAGGGCCCAGGCCAAAAAAAATATGTGAGCAACAACGACAACGACGACGACGACGGCCTCGGCCTCGGGCAGCAGTAAATGCAGTTGGCCCCCAAAAGCGGCACATGCAGTGCTGCAGCAACAGCGTGTAGAACACTTACGCGCTTCTTAATTACACTAGGTACTAATTATTTATGCGTAAAATTTAGTTTTTTTGCACTTTTTTTTACAATCCAAAATGAACTCTTATGTTACGGCGACAGAGTTGCCAGTCCATTTCGACAATTGACAGTGCTGATATGCAACCCTGTAATGGCGTAGTACGGTAACACATCATAGTGACAGAAGTCATCGCTGTCTGCATATCGAATATTAACATTATACATCTATCACATTATTCAAAGTCAGCTGTTGTTAACATCAGCTGTTAATGGGCGCGCAATTTAAAACCTGCAAATGTAAGCATTTAATTATACCAAACAGTTGCAAGCTAGTTTAATACATATTTATGTAGATTTATTTAGTTTCTTTTTATTTTTCCTATAATTCGCTGATTGTTTTTTTTTTTGTTATTTAAATTATATAAAAGTGCAATGTTAGATTTACAGTTAATAGCTTAAAACACAACACTTAAACTTGTACAAGTATTGTTTTTTTTTGTTTTTAATTTTGCTAGTTCTTTTCAAATTTTAAATAAAAACATAATTTTAATCTTGGAAACAGCGGGTTGACAGTTAATCAATCATCGTCATGCCTTTAACTTACACAATTTTCGTTGATTGTCATGCTTTAAGCCATTAATAAAGGATTTTTTGGAAGGCTAACAAAATGTATGGATACAAATACTTATAAACTTGAATTGATGTTAGATTTTGTATATATTGATGCTATTCTGTTTTTGTTTTTGTTGCTTTGCTATGTAAGTTCGTTTGTAGTTTGTATCTTTACTAATTCGTTGAAGTCCTCTAGTAAACATGCGACGCTCTAGATAAGCTAATGTGTATGTAGAACTATATATAAATATGCATATGTTTGTATTTATGTTTCTATGTTAACGTAAGAGAAGTCTATGTTCAGTTGTTGTAATATTCATGCCGATTTCGTCAAATCATTTGCCTTTCTTTGGTTGCCTACTATTGCTATATTAACTATAAGATTATAATTATTTAGCATAAGTATAGTACATACATTTCTTTTTAATTTGCTTAACTGTTTTTGGACTTGCTTGTGGGTTGCATATTGTGTGGTGGGATACGGATTCTCAATTTAAATGTATAATTATGTAAATATCTCGACTTAGTCTTGATATTTGCATAATGTATGTTTGCATTTGTATTTGTTTTTTAATTCATTTATAGTTAGGTTTAAGCGCATTTTGTATGCAAAATCTTTTCACATTGAGATTTACTTGTTTTGTTGACTTGTATTTTTTTTGTTGCGAAATTGATGCAAGTATATATATACTATATTTAAATTCCTAAGATTAATTATAAATTGATGTTAAGATTCTTTGTTTTCAACTACACATCGACTAATGTTATTAAGCAAATAATTTGTTATGTTACAGTTGTTAATATAATTTAAATTAAATAACAATTTGTTTGAAACAAAACCGCTCACAATAATTCAAATACTTAGTTTAGTTATAAATTTTTAGGTACACAGTTTACAAACTTTTCAAAAGCAAATACCATTTATAAATATACAACTAAAGAGTACGATTTTTCTTTAAATGTTTCCTTTTTTTCTTTTTTGGGTAGTTCACATAGCAGAATATCACACGAATATAGGCAAACCAAATGTAGTAGTAAGTATAACAGTAGTATAACAGTTAACTTTATGTTCACGTTCATGAACACACACATACACACTCACTCAAGCACACACACACACGCACACACATCAATATGTCTCGTAGAAAATGCAATCGATTTACTCCAACAACGATTGAGATTCGGCCAAGGTTCCATTGCCCAAACACGTTTCCGGATTGGTTTCCGTTGCTGCATCCTGTGCCTTGAGCTTTAGCAGCGGCGTCTTAATATCCGCCTCCAGCTCTGCGCTGCAGTCCAGACTAAGTGGCGCGGCCGCTGTCACTGCCTCCGGCTCATGAAGCTCTACGGCCGCCTTGGGCTCCGCTGCACTGCTCTCAGATTTGCCCTGCAGATGGCAGGTGATTTAAGTAAGAGTATTCATAGAATATCTTGGTTCACCCACCTGCAAATAGTAGGTCATCAGCTGACCCTTGCCCTTGACTGCCACCAGGCCGCGCTGCTGAAACGTATAACCGAATTGCTCCAGGATGTTGCAGGTCTCCTCGGTTACCTGAACGGCGCCCGCTTTGCCGGTGCTCTCCATGCGCGAGGCCACATTCACCGTATTGCCCCAGATATCGTAGTGCGGCTTCCGAGCGCCAATCACACCAGCCGTAATGGGGCCATGATTGATGCCCATTTTGAGCACGAAATGATTGAACGACTGCTCGTTGATGCCGTGCAGCGCATGCTTGAGTTCCAGCGCAAACTCCACTAGCAGAGCCAGATGGGACCAGCGTTCGGTAATGGGAGCATCATTACGGAGATTTCGCTGCAAATTGATGCCACTGGCGGCCATATAAGTGGAGCCAATAGTCTTGATTTTAATGATGTCCTGAAACTGGGGCAGCTCCAGCAGCTGAATAATAAACGAGATGACATCAGTATATAGTGGGATTATGTTGACCAAGAGTCCAGCCTCACCGCGTCGAAATCGGAGATGACCTCATTCAGAAAACGCAAGCACTCCAGGCCCTGATTGTTAACTGTTTCCTCCGAGTAGAAATCTATCAAGTATATTAAGCCTATTAAGCCTTGTAATAACAAGGATATTCGAAATGTTGATTACCTGAAAAATTGGGCATGCTGGCAAACAGCACACCCACCTCGGCATAGCTTTGGGAGTAGAGATCATCATGGGAACGCTTGGCGTTCTTCATAAAGTGCTCGGCCACATGCACGGGCAACACATTGTAGACCAAAGCCTCATTACGCTGACGCATATCGTTGGCGGTTTCCTTTTGCTCGGCCACCTCGGTTTTCCATTTGAATATAACACGATCCTCGTGGTCCATCTGGTTTGAAAATGAAAAAAGAATCAAATAATTATTTTAATATTGACATATAAATAACTAAATATTTGACTATTAAATGTCAATTGATAAATTAAATGTCCATCGTTAGGGCCTTAATTTATTTGTAAACTGGGAACAGAACATTGGGTACAGAAAATTGTGAACAATGCTCTGGAAATAGACTGTTCCTAGCATGAAGAGTGGACGCTCTGGCATATTGCCAGAAACTATAATTGTCCAGAAATATTTTATTTTTTATGATAATTAATTTTTATTTTTAACACCATTTAACATATGATATAGTTTTACGGCCGTTTGGCAGTTGGAATTACCAGATTTTGAAAGTGTTCAGAAAATAGAGTATTAAAGAATACTATAAATATAGTTAATTGTACTCACATGTCGGGCTAGAAAGCTGAGAGACAATGCGGCGACTAGAAGCAGACCTGAGGCACAATAGCGTGTTGATATGAGCCTGAAAGTGCAATTAGTGAAAACAAATAGGTATAAACATACAATTGAAAATATTGTATATATAGCTTTATATAATTATCTGCATACTCGGTGGCTCTTCTTAACTTACGGCTGATGTGCCAGATCGTCTTCCAGAGCGTACAAGTCCTGCATGATGCACACATTGAAATAGCAGTGCAAAGCTGAAAGTATAGTTTAGAGATTGCAAGCGAATCAACCACATGTTTGCCATTATTCCACTGTGGAAAACTCACCCGCAATGGACAACAGCAGGAGAATCTTGGTTAAATGCGTGAGCTGAGCAATCACAGCAATTGCAATGAGTATGAGGACACTGAAGTTGCTCAAATAGGACGGATATAGGACACGTTCGGTGGGCACCGCCTCGCGCATTTGCTCCACAAACGATTCGGGCAGCAGGTGCTCGGCGGTGACAACCTCCTCCAAGCCGGCCGTGGCATTGAATTCGCTCTCGCTGACAATATGCTCGGTGCGCACGAAGGTAACGAAGAAGAACTGCACCGGGAAAAATAACAAATTTGAGTGCTCTAGTCGAGAGTTTGCCCGACTAGCAGATACCCTATACCCAGCAAATGCTTCTAAATAATAAATAAAAAATGAATCAACTAATTTTGTATTATAAAGTTTTGAATGTTTAAATGTCAGTTTCTGTAAAAAAAAAAGGTAATTTTTTAGGCCAATCACATATATATAGAGACGGACAATCATCGCCTAACCAACTCGGCTTGTCGTGCAGATCAGGAATATACACACATTTCAGATTTGGAGATGTCCTCCTCTAACCGAAACATACATTTGCACAAACTGCAATATACCCTATTAAAAGGCATTTGCAATGGGTAGAGGGCATAAAAATCAATAAGGACTTGAGCAAGAGCATGCACGAGTCGAACCGCATACTAACCATGTCGATGACATTGCTGAGGCCAATGGTAAGTGCTATAATTATGGCTGCCAGCTCGCGCACGAAGGTAATGTCATTGAAGCGTTTGCTCACATCCACAAAGAACTTGGGCAGCATGCCACTAAAGCTTTCCGCAATGCTTATGGCCACCAGCATGGCAATGGGCACCAACGGTGCGGCAATGTTAATGAAATGCAGCGTGGAGCGCGGCAGCACCAGGTAGGAGTACAGCACATCGATGCACTGCACCAGCAAAGCGGCCAGCAAGGGCAGCGAACTATACGGCTCCCGATAGACGGCATAGGCCTGCTCCAGCTGCACATTCTTGAAGCGCAAGAAGATGTTCGTGTCCTTGGTCAGATTTCTGTGTGTGACAAGGAATCAGTTTAATTGCTAATAGATTTTACAGTTAATTTAGTTATTTACTCGTGTCCATCGCGCGTTACAAGCTCGTCTTTTAGACGCTGCTTAAAGTTCTCGAGCTTGATTTGTTCTTCCTCATCTTCAGCCGCTGTTGGGCTGTGTCCATTGAGGACAACACTCTGCGCCAATAGCTCCTCGTCATCCACTGTGGCATCATTGTCATCGTCGACATTTTCGTTGCTATCATTGCTACTGGCATTGGATTCCGGACTATGATTGCCATTTTCTGCTCTGGTTTCGTGGATTTTCTTGGCGCAAGGCGAGGCGAACTGAAGAGTTAAACAAGGATTAGCTCTGGACTTAATAAATCAGTTTAAGCTGGGCATGGAAAGCTGTCTGAGACTCACCGGCTTAACCACTTTGGTAATGAAATAGGTCTTCAGACCAGCAATGCGCAGCAGCTCCTCGCGCTTCTCCCCAAAGGCCGGCTCCACCTCGAACTCGCCATTGAGAAAGGCCAAAGTCTTGTCGGAAATATGCACGCGTCTGCGTTAGAAAACTCAATTAAATTAATGTTTAACACAGAAAGGTGTCGATTATGCGTGCCACACCCATAAATTTGCATATCGAAGTGACAAGGATAAATCATAACAACATGAGCGAACACCCCCTGGTTGGCAGTTCTTGACTACATCAATTATGCATCAAGTTGGTATTGGACTCACCCGGCCTTGCCGCTGGATTCCATTTTATTAGCCAGCTCAACGTCCTTGGAGTAAACGTCAAACTGCCACTGACGCTGACCGAGTATGCCAGCCAGGACAGCACCCGTGTGTATGCCCACACGCATATCAACAGGTGAGTTTGCCTTCTGTTGCACATATCTGTAAAAATAAAAAAATATATATATACATAAATTGAATATAAAAACTATGCATAGTTCGCAGCGAATCCACAACGGACGACAGGACGCAGGACGACGCGTGGTTAAGTGCAATTACATTTAATTGAACTAACGCTGATTTGACACCGCCTGTCGCCGCCCTCGTCGCCTGTCGCGAGTCCTTTGACTAGTTGTCCTGGCACTCTACTCACTTGATGGCCTTCACCATTGAAAGTCCCATGTGTACGCAGAGCACGGCATGGTCCGGCCGCTCGTCGGGCGCTCCACTAATGCAATAATAGCAATCGCCGAGAATTTTAATGCGCAGCTGTTGGTACTTCTGTAAGGGCATAAAGGTGTTTGACAATGTGTGTGTGTGTGTGTGTGTGTGTAGGTCGTTGTTAGTTACATTGCCTATAACGAACGAGCTAATCGAACCGTAAATGGACGTGGGTTGTCTGCATACCGTTAGAATATGGCAACAATGGTAAAATTAGCTTAATTATAAGGGGTTAAATCAATCAAATAAAAAGAATAGATTACCAGGCACAAAGGATGCAAGAGGAGGCTATAAAAGAGCTACAAATGTTGGAAAGATTAGGAATTGAAATCAGAACAAATAAACAAATATACATATATATATATATAAATTAAAGCGAATTCCAAAGATATATGTTCAATTGTATTTTATACATTTTATGTCTGTGCTTAAAAAAGGAAATTATTGACTTTACGTTAATAGACGTTAATAGACAATAGTCTAAGAAAAAAGAGCTTGTTATATAAAAAGTTTAATTATTATGTTCGCATTTCAGAAAGAATATTAGACGAGAGTAACATTTTTATTGAAATAATTACAATCGGAATACATTTAACTTCTGTGATAAACGCATAACTAAATTTCTTTATCGAGTTTTTATTCATTCCAAGAAACAAGATTTAGCCTTATATTTATCAGCTTTCTTATATAAAAAACATCAAGTATTAATAATATATCTCTAAAATAAAATGATGACAAAGTGCAACCTTTCACAATTTATTATTTGTAATATATTTTGAATACTATATAATATGTAAATAGCTATTAAAATTAAAACACTTAATGAAATGAAATCAAAACAAATCTCAGTCAAAACGCAATTAATATCACCTATATACATATATATATTTAGTACCTGTCAAACAGGCAATTGAAAACTTTTTAGCAAAAAGTTCTTCAAAATCAAAACAAAACTTGTATCTTGGCTTTCAACCCGGCCAAAGCAAATGAACCGAAAACGCTGCAAAACCAATAAAAATAAATAAAATTGAGGGAAATTCAGAACAGCCGCAACTCAATGGCTGGGAAAACTCATACACAGAGAAAAGTCGCCGACCCAAACCAACAAAAGAAGAAACGAAAAAAAAAAAAAACTGCACCAAATTAACTGAGCCGAAATTTAAAGGACCTTTCAGACAAACCCAAAAATCGCATGAAAACAAAAATCAACTCGACACATTTCACACGGCTGACTGAGCCTCACTTTTGTTACCGGACCCCGCCCCCGCCCACGCCCACCAAACATTCACTTAAAAAGAAAAAAAATTAAGTATGCAGCGGCCAAAAAGTAAATGAAGATGAATGGGCAAGAGGAGGAATTCAAATTAAAGTTCGAAATGCGCAATTGAAGGAAACGAAAGAAAAAAAGAATACTTCTTCGATGCTTATCTCCAACATCATTATCAACATTATTTCGGGAGATTATTACGGGACTAGGCAGGTGAAAAAACACACACAAAGCAAGGCGAAAGAAATAAAAATAAAAGAAAGAGAAGAGCAAAAAGCAAGCTGAACAAAACGAAAGTTTTTCACTTTACCTCGGCGAGCCTATCGAAGCGTGCGAAGAGCTCGTTTAGCATTTTTACCAGATCTTGGGCGCTATACGTCGAGGAAATGGCGGTAAACCCAACAATATCCGCATACAGTATGCTTATTATATATTTTTTTTGGTGGGTGTGAAAAAGAATATAACGATTAAAGTGCTTGCTAGGACTCGGTTCTTTGTAATAAAATATGTCGCCTTCAGGTAATGAGCCTATTAAACATTTGGCAGGAAACCCTTAAGGGTAACAAGGAATTTTTATACATATATCTAGAAATACCTAGAATATCTGAAAATCGCAACGCACTCTTTAAGCAAACGGTTGACATATTCATAAGCATTTAGTGTGGAAAGGAGTTATAAGGGAAATACTTAATGTTGAAAGAGTCAAACCCCACGGGTGTTAAGATTATGGTTAAGATCTTAACGAGTAGCGAGTACGGAAAGCAAAGTTTGAGTTTATAAGCGAGTAAGCTTGACTTATGCATGTCAGAGATGAAGCTTGTCACGAGCTTCAGGGATAGTAAAAAGGAGAGAGAGAGTGAGTAAATTGCGAATATATTCAAAGGGTGTTAAAGCGAGTCTTACGCTTAATCTTGAGTAAACTATGCAACGAATAGGTATAAGCTTGATAACGAGTAACGAGTAGGAGGTGTCAGATATTGTCTAGGGATTAAGAAAAAGTAACGAGTAATGAGTAAGGACTAGAATAAGAGCTTGAATATAGTTACGAATATTATTTAAGCCAAAGCTTTTCAAAGCTTTTCAAGTGCTTAAAATCTGAGGTGGGATATTCGAAGCCCTAGTCTTATAACAAGAAGAGTTAGTAATATATTGTCTTGACCTGTGCTAGACATTCATTTATCAATTTACCTCACATTCTCGTGCCGACTCATGTAAATCTTTTTAAAAGCCTCCGAGCTGGATGAGCCCAAGTCCTCGCGCATCTTAATGGCCACATGCTTGGGCAGCACAGATAGTAGCAAGCGTTCCTTTGTAAAATAAAAATATATTCTTAATTACAGCTCACAAAAGAGTTGATGCTTACACACCTGCTCAGCCGACTGCTCCTCGATGACCATCTTAACCTCCAGACTCTTTTTGGCCTCCAAAAAGGCGCGCTTCTGCTTGGCCTCGCCCATGAAGTAATACAATAGACCAATTAACGCCGCGGTGGCTATTAAAACCGCATTAGCCGCCGCCTGATCTGAGATTAACGGATCCGGCCGTGAAAAGCCTACGGGCAGACTTAGGCAATTGAAATACGTGCAAAAGCCAACGACTAGGCCCAGAAAAATCAGCGGCAATGGCAGCGTCACATATATCAGGAAGTTTAATAGTATGGCCCAGCCGAGCACGTCTCTACAAATTGTAAGGATCAAGGATTATTACAAATCGCCCAAAATCGACTAGAGAGTGGCATTTACCGCGGCGAAAAGCTGGCCTGAAGCATCACATAGGCGGCAAAATGCAGCATCGAGAGCAGCCACAAGGCGCGCGGAACAATCGTCAACAGCGGCTGACGGAAACGTCTAAAGGCCGGCTGCTCCGAACGGCGTCCAATGTGCAGGAGGGCCGCCAGCGTCATATAGGCCTTGAACACGCAACAGTTGACCACTAAAGTTGAGTATTCAATCAAAACAAATTAGTTTAAATGTTTGAAGTTGAGATTAGCTTAAGTAGGGAATATTTTGTAAAACTATTAGAATAAGATTTTAGAAGCTTTTAATTCACCTATGAAAAAATTCATAAGTTTCTCTATTGAGGTTTACTGACGACAGTTTCAAAGGAAGTCCAAAGAAAATGCCAACAATCATGAAGATGTCCTTGTAAAAATCTCTTTATAAATCGTTTTATTAAATAAAGAATCGAGAAAACGGACCAAAATTTGGTATCTCTAAGGAACTGAGAATAACGTCAGGGAATAGAAGATGATTCTTTTAATTTATTACAGGCTGCAAAATAGCCCATACAATTGTTTTGTAACCCTTTTGTAGCCGTATTAAACGTCGTTAAGTTTATTAAGTACATATTTTTTGGGAATCTTCGATAATAATATGATAATATGGTATATATATATAGACCTTTTCCAGTAGGATTATCAAATCGTATTGTAATATAACATGGCCCTACAGCTTAACAATTTTCGAAGCTTATCGAGTCTGGGTAAGGCTCAGGATATGCGGAAACACTCACCCCTTGTTGTTAAAGCCTGCTCCCAGGGTATGAAAATCGTCCAGAGATTAAAGAGAACGGCCGCGAATAGAAACCACTTGAGGCCGCTGCGTCGCTGCTTGATGGAATAATTGTGATAGAGTTCGTTGAGTACGTGCTGCGGCAGGATGACGACGCCGCCGCCCGTGATGCCCACACCGCCCGCGACCACATCCCCCTCGTTGGGTGGCCGTCGGCGTGGTGGGGTCCTTAGGCGTTTGGCTTTGCTCGGCGTGGATGCTGCCGTTGTCTGGCCATTCTCGAGATTGGCAGCTGTTGTCGCCTTCTCTTCCGGCATGTTGCGAGGTCTTGCAGTTGCCAAGTTATTCGTTGATCGCCGTTTTTGGTTTTATAAATGGAGTCTGGTCATTTCCGTTTTCCCTGTTATCTTTACTTATTTATGATACGATGCGGGATGGTTGGGGGGTTGGGCGAACTTCGGGAGCTGCTGAGACGCGTTGGCAAATAGAATAATATAAAACACAAACTCAAATACGAAACTTTTACACAAAACACAAACGTTAACGGTAAATTTGAGGCTTAACATTGCCGTTTGCCTCATGGCGGCTCCTCTCTCTCTCTCTCTCCCTCCCTCTCTCTTCTCTACCTCTGCCACTGCCACTGCCTCTCACTCTGTCTAAATATAAATGTATGTGTGAGCGCCAAGGCGGAAGCGTCCTTGTACGAGAGCCATGAGCGTGGCCCTGTGTGCGACTACCGCAATGTGTGTGCGTGTGTGTGCGTGTGTTCGTTTGTGTGTGTATGTGTGTGTGTGTGCCTGCCTTAAGCAAAACGCCGTGATACAGTGGGCTAACAGTAAATAATTTGCCTTACTTTATTAAATTTGTTATGTTAAAAGATTTCTCTAGCAATATAAGCTACTTTTGTTCTACGGACTCTTTTATATATGTATATTTGTTAGTTAGATTTTTGTCAAGCTTTAAAGTGCCATAAGTTGAAAATTATATATCGAAAAGTATTGGTAAGTAAGAATACACTTAAACCATTTTTGTTGCTTAAACAATATTTTTTATGAATTCTTTAAAATGTTCTAATTCCTTAATTCAACAATTCTACTACTATTTAAAATACTACTATTAAAATAAAATACTACTATGAAATACCTACGCTGATAAGAAACATAAATTGTATTTATATTGATTTTATTTAATATCATGTGAACGAAAATCTCATTATAAACACCCTTTAAATGCTACTATTTGATTATTTTTATTCAATTTATGTGCATTTTTACTTTATCTTATCTTGTCAACAAAACCTGAATGAAATTATCAACACACTATAATTTAATACAAAACTAATATGGGTTCATTTTTTTTTACTATCAAATCAATTGCAGTCTGGTTAAAAGTACCCTAATGGGGAGTTCTTTGTGAAACATTGTGAATGCTGGCATTATCTCATCATAAGATAAGATAGAAAAACGCAGAGATATTAAAGCTAAGTAATTTTTATTATTAGAGCTATGCTAGTTTCTTTTTATAATAAATGGAATGTTATCAACAATGCCAGGTGCGAATGTTTCAAACAGAATTTTGTGCTTTATAGCTCTTCAAACTAACTTGGGGTTTTTCATTTTAGGCCGAATGTAAATTGAGTTATCAAATTTTCAGCATAGCGCTTAATATCCGTTTGCATAAATTATGACAACTTTTACGCACGCACACACCACAGTGTTACATGGCCCACTCCCTTTCTCGCTCGCACGCCCAGTGCGTCTCACTTTGCCACCCTCCCTCTCTCTCTCTCTTTTCTGCTACCTGGCTCAGTTGGTGTTTCCTCTTCACTTGGCTGTCGTATCCTTATAGCCGAATTCGTTGCTTCTTTTCTTGGCATACAAAAATCCTTTACTTCTAGCTATGCTCACGGATATACATATACAACGTATCTCTACAGCTGTATGTGTGCGTGTGTGTGTGTGTGTTTATCTATGTGTGTTTAAGGCTGATTTGCTCAAGGTTCGTTTTAATGCGTTGTGATTTCGTTTGTGTTTGTGTGCGTGTGTTTGTTTGTGTGTGTACACACTTTATGCATTCGCAAGCAATTTCGCATCTAATTTTAATTTAAATAAACAACAGCTCGCGCATAAAACTAGGCAGCAGATTTGAAGTTTTTTTTTTTTTGGATTTTTGATTTTTTTTTTTATGGAGGCTGCGATAACGCTTGAGCGTGTACAGAAAAGTCGTCCGCACAGCTGCCAAATTGTTCACTTTTCACTTGAATGGAATGGATTATGGCACACGCTGCAATTTCAATTATTAACCTCTTTTGCAAACGGCTTCGATGTGGTTTTCGTTTTATTTTTTTTTTTTGTTAACTGCTGCTGTGGCTGCTGCTGCGGACCTATTTTAGTGAGAAGCGTCGCGCGAGCCAATTGCTGCGAGCTAAACTAAGACGCACGATAAACTTGACTGATTGTTAAGTGAAAATTTTTGACAGTCAACAGCCCAAGAGCTCAACAGCAGCAGCAGCAGCAAGGACTTTTCAAAAGCACCCATCTCTCTCTCTCTCGCTCTCTCGCTCTTCTACGCTTCCTCGCGCGCTCAGAGCGAGCTTTTCGGCTCAAGCTCTGCGTGAGCGCATGTCTGTGAGAGCGCATGCAACTGATAACGGTACAGCTGTGCAGCTTGATAACGCAATGTGCAACTGCTGTTAATGCGTGCGTGTGTGTGTGTGTGTGTGTAAATGTAGCTCACACTCGCACTTGAGCCTGATTACTCAAATTGCCGCAGGCTCATAAAATTAATTATAAAAAAATGTTACTAAAATGGCTATCAACAGCAACGGCAGCAGCGACGCCAGCTGCGCCGTCGACGCTGTCGGCTACACAAAAAAAAAAAAACAGCACCTGGCCTTGGGCGCGCCACAGGATGCAGCTGCGGCTTCGTGTGCGAGAGTTGAAAATGTAATGCATCTTAAAGAGAAAATATGTTCAGCCGAATAGCTTGCAGAGGATACAAAATTAGATATGCCAATCCCTAATGCCTGAAAGAAGCGCGGCTCAAAACTAAAACATATACTAAATATAATATCTAAGAGAGTTTTGAATAGTTTGAATTGCTTGCCTTTTGCGAGGATTTAATGGAAGAACAATTTTTACTAGCAGCAAGACAGTTGCAGCTAAATGGTAATAAATCCTTTTAGATGTATACCCCAATCCTATGAATGTTTATTTTTTGATTATTCTGCGTGATTCTACTGTAAAATCATTTCAGCTTTAATCTATCTACAGGATTCTAATCTAAAATCGTTTTAACTTTAAATAAGTTCTGAGAGGAGATAAAAAGATCTATTTCGATGTTTACTAAAATCATAGTAAAGCTTGCATTGAAAAAGTTCTGTTGATATATTCATTTTTTTTCTACCCTGAACTCATTAAAAATGGGTATAAGGGTATATTGTATTTGTGCGTAAGCCAAATGTATGTAACAGGCAGAAGGAAGCATCTCCGACCCCATAAAGTATATATATTCTTGATCAGCATCAATAGCCGAGTCGATCTAGCCATGTCCGTCTGTCTGTCCGTCCGTCCGTCCGTCCGTCCGTAACGCAAGGATCTCAGAACCTGGAAGAAGAGGGTTCAGGGTATTCCCTAGTAGGGAGCTCCCGACTAGAACCTCTTACTTGAAATGGGCTCAGCTTAAGTTCTTAGTTCTTAAGAGTTTTGGGTTTACGGAGCGCATTTACACTATGGACCTCCTATTTATAAGTATCTAAGAATATTTTTTAACTCTGAATCAAAGCAAAAAGAAATCGCAGAGATTTCATCACATATTGTTAACATTAGCATAATTATATTGAGATAGCTAGCGTATTGCTCAATTACTTAAAATTTAAATATTTATCAATGCATGTATGTGTGTGTGTGTGTGTGTGTGTGTGTGTGTGTGTGTGTGTGTGTGTGTGTGTGTGTGTGTGTGTGTGTGTGTGTGTGTGTGTGTGTGTGGTGTGTGTGTGTGTGTGTGTGTGTGTGTGTGTGTGTGTGTGTGTGTGTGTGTGTGTGTGTGTGTGTGTGTGTGTGTGTGTGTGTGTGTGTGTGTGTGTGTGTGTGTGTGTGTGTGTGTGTGTGTGTGTGTGTGTGTGTGTGTGTGTGTGTGTGTGTGTGTGTGTGTGTGTGTGTGTGTGTGTGTGTGTGTGTGTGTGTGTGTGTGTGTGTGTGTGTGTGTGTGTGTGTGTGTGTGTGTGTGTGTGTGTGTGTGTGTGTGTGTGTGTGTGTGTGTGTGTGTGTGTGTGTGTGTGTGTGTGTGTGTGTGTGTGTGTGTGTGTGTGTGTGTGTGTGTGTGTGTGTGTGTGTGTGTGTGTGTGTGTGTGTGTGTGTGTGTGTGTGTGTGTGTGTGTGTGTGTGTGTGTGTGTGTGTGTGTGTGTGTGTGTGTGTGTGTGTGTGTGTGTGTGTGTGTGTGTGTGTGTGTGTGTGTGTGTGTGTGTGTGTGTGTGTGTGTGTGTGTGTGTGTGTGTGTGTGTGTGTGTGTGTGTGTGTGTGTGTGTGTGTGTGTGTGTGTGTGTGTGTGTGTGTGTGTGTGTGTGTGTGTGTGTGTGTGTGTGTGTGTGTGTGTGTGTGTGTGTGTGTGTGTGTGTGTGTGTGTGTGTGTGTGTGTGTGTGTGTGTGTGTGTGTGTGTGTGTGTGTGTGTGTGTGTGTGTGTGTGTGTGTGTGTGTGTGTGTGTGTGTGTGTGTGTGTGTGTGTGTGTGTGTGTGTGTGTGTGTGTGTGTGTGTGTGTGTGTGTGTGTGTGTGTGGTGTGTGTGTGTGTGTGTGTGTGTGTGTGTGTGTGTGTGTGTGTGTGTGTGTGTGTGTGTGTGTGTGTGTGTGTGTGTGTGTGTGTGTGTGTGTGTGTGTGTGTGTGTGTGTGTGTGTGTGTGTGTGTGTGTGTGTGTGTGTGTGTGTGTGTGTGTGTGTGTGTGTGTGTGTGTTGTGTGTGTGTGTGTGTGTGTGTGTGTGTGTGTGTGTGTGTGTGTGTGTGTGTGTGTGTGTGTGTGTGTGTGTGTGTGTGTGTGTGTGTGTGTGTGTGTGTGTGTGTGTGTGTGTGTGTGTGTGTGTGTGTGTGTGTGTGTGTGTGTGTGTGTGTGTGTGTGTGTGTGTGTGTGTGTGTGTGTGTGTGTGTGTGTGTGTGTGTGTGTGTGTGTGTGTGTGTGTGTGTGGTGTGTGTGTGTGTGTGTGTGTGTGTGTGTGTGTGTGTGTGTGTGTGTGTGTGTGTGTGTGTGTGTGTGTGTGTGTGTGTGTGTGTGTGTGTGTGTGTGTGTGTGTGTGTGTGTGTGTGTGTGTGTGTGTGTGTGTGTGTGTGTGTGTGTGTGTGTGTGTGTGTGTGTGTGTGTGTGTGTGTGTGTGTGTGTGTGTGTGTGTGTGTGTGTGTGTGTGTGTGTGTGTGTGTGTGTGTGTGTGTGTGTGTGTGTGTGTGTGTGTGTGTGTGTGTGTGTGTGTGTGTGTGTGTGTGTGTGTGTGTGTGTGTGTGTGTGTGTGTGTGTGTGTGTGTGTGTGTGTGTGTGTGTGTGTGTGTGTGTGTGTGTGTGTGTGTGTGTGTGTGTGTGTGTGTGTGTGTGTGTGTGTGTGTGTGTGTGTGTGTGTGTGTGTGTGTGTGTGTGTGTGTGTGTGTGTGTGTGTGTGTGTGTGTGTGTGTGTGTGTGTGTGTGTGTGTGTGTGTGTGTGTGTGTGTGTGTGTGTGTGTGTGTGTGTGTGTGTGTGTGTGTGTGTGTGTGTGTGTGTGTGTGTGTGTGTGTGTGTGTGTGTGTGTGTGTGTGTGTGTGTGTGTGTGTGTGTGTGTGTGTGTGTGTGTGTGTGTGTGTGTGTGTGTGTGTGTGTGTGTGTGTGTGTGTGTGTGTGTGTGTGTGTGTGTGTGTGTGTGTGTGTGTGTGTGTGTGTGTGTGTGTGTGTGTGTGTGTGTGTGTGTGTGTGTGTGTGTGTGTGTGTGTGTGTGTGTGTGTGTGACGTCACAGGCCAAATACTCACATTTTTCGTGATACATTGCAGCTGGAAAACCCTTGTAAAACGCGCGCACAACAACAATAGACTCGGAACCAGGTAATAAAATGGACAAACAGCCGGCTGTGCCGGGCTGCTTTCGTCCTGAACAATATTAATCCAGGACGCGCACAATGGCACGTGATGCTGCCTAATCCATCTGTCTCGGCGTCGCCCTTTACCTGCCTGCCTGGGCTGGCTACTGGGCCAGAAATTTGTAATTTCCACTTTTGTGCGTGTCCTTCCAAATTTAAACTAACACTACAACAACAATTCGAGCATTAATTTGATTGATTGCTGTACATTTGTATTCATCTGGGCAACTGTTGGCGGGCAAAGCGTGTTTATGTCACATTGAATGAACGGTACTATTTAATGCTGCTATCGATACTTTTAAGCTATTGGCTATCTATGTAAATAACATAAATAATCAGGATAAGGGTAGCCAAGTGCAACGCAAATTTGTTATTTATTTACATTTATGCTAAATGAGTTAGTTTACGATAGTTTCTCCACAACAATTAGCGATTCATCGAATGATTTAATGAACTGTATGAAAAGATAAGTTCTGATAGAAATGTCATAGTTGAACGTTTCTTTATTAATTATTTTCTTTTCAAATATAAAGATTTTGTCCCTTAAATGCATACACTCGCTTGTATTCAGGGGAGGCTCAGCTCAGGCAGCTGGCACGAGTCTAGTTTTGAGTTAAGAGCAGATGTTTGTGTAAGCAGCATGTGTAAAAATAAAAAAATGCATTCATTGAAGGTTACTACTGCGCCCAATTTTTGTTAAGTATATAAAAGCATTTAATGAGTCAATTCCTTTGCAAAAAGTTTAGGCATGATTTAAACAAAGCTCTGCCGCCTTGTGTGAACCATTTCATTGCCAAAAATAAATGATTAGGAGTTGGAATCAGTTTTTAAGTTTTTTTTTTTTTGAGAACGAGCGTTGTGATGTTGCACAATGACTTTGTCGTGCCGCTGCTCGAATTTTTCATTAATAAAAAAGGGTTAATTAAATAAACTTAAACAAAAACTGATCGCAACAGAGTGCTTTGAGTTATCTGTTAAGAAAAATTCTTTAAAAGATTATCTAAATATTTAAATTAAACGATGCATTGAATACCCAAAGCATAATACATCGTAACATTGTATGTTATCGATATATATGTTTCGCTGCTCCACTGAAAGCCGAAACTATTCTTGTTCATTCTAACTACAGCGTTCTTGAAATTGCTATCGCATTCGCACTATTCACCACATTGTATATTAGTGTTGCAATGCCATTGTCCTAAATAACAGTGCCATTTTGAGTATAACATAATACTTTTTATACATTTTAATTAATTCGCATCGCTATATGTTGGAATAAAAATACGGTTTTAAACAGTTATAGAACCAATTGTATGCATAATGTTTATTT